CAGCGGGGAGCAGCTGCTGTCGGCGACCCCGAGCGCGCCCTGGCGTGTGCACGGCCCCTGGTAACGCCCGCGCCCGGCCCCGCTGCGGCCCCTGCTCCGCACGCGCTGTCAGACCCTGTACCTCCAACCACGTGCGGAAGTGGGAGGTTACCCTGAAAAGGAAGACAGCGGCTTCTCTCGGCAATGAAGCAGAATGACGCCGTCTCAGAGGCCTTCAGCGAGCCTCGAGCCGCCTGGGCTCCGCGGGTGCCGCTCCCCACGCCCGGCAGGGTCAGAGCACAGAGCGCCGGGGACGCGGGGGGACGCGGGGCTCCGGGAGGTTCACGTGCGGGGCTCGCTCCTCTCCTGGACCGCAGAGCTGCCGAGGTCGGGAACTGGGTCTTCCCTGCCTTATACTCAGCTTTCCGTGGTTAATCCACACTTAGTCCAGGGTCCTTAGAGGATGTTAATTGGGGCCGGCAGGTGGCGGTGGTTAAGGGCTCTGGACTCCCACGTGGCCCACCGCAGCTCGAGTTCGGACCTGGCGGCTTGCTTTCTCACTCTGTCTGTCCCTCTCTGCTCAAATTTAAATAAATAAATAAACTTAAGTAAAATCATTCTTTTTTGAAAAAAAAAAAAAACGAGATGTTGAGGGGCCAGGAGGTGGCATAGTGTTTAAGGCACTGGACTCCCACGTAGCCGACTACAGTTCAAGTCCTATACCTGGTGGCTTAAACTCACACCAGATGCGTGTGCTTACGTGCCCAAGATCCTGAGAGGAGAATGGAGGAGAAGGGATTGTGGTATGGCCGTTCCCCCTGGGGAGGGGTGATTTCTCGCTTTCTCTTTCCCGAGGGAGTACACATTGCACTATGGAGGGAAAAAAAAAAACCTTAAAAATAAAATAAATAAAAAAGAAGATGCCAGTGGGTGGCTAAATATGCGAAGGAATGGGTGACTGGAGTAAGAAGTACCGAAGACAGCGAGGAAGCAAGGGGCCCAAGGGGCCCGGGGGCTGGGTGATTGCCAGTGGGGAGAGTGACGCTCTGCCAGGCTGACCCACAGGGGGAGCTCCTGTTCGTACCTGGAGACCTCCCGAGCCCCCAGGGGCCTGCACTTGCTCACGAGCTCGGGTTGGGGTTGCTGGGGGCGGGGGGAGTTCTCAACACAAGACCCTGCTGGGCACCCTGTCTCTTTCTGTCTCTCTCTCTGTGTTTATCTCTCTCACAGAAGAAAGCCAGACACTCAGAAAGAGAGGGAGGGAGGGAAGGAGGGAGGAAATGGATTTCTACGCAGCCTCATGGGGCAAGCATTCAGCTTGGTGACGGCTTGAAGTCTGACGTCGGGTGTGTATTTTCAGCCCGTCACCTGTCTAACGCGGATCTGTGTGTGATTACATGGCGCGGGTTGTCATTCTCTCACTTCCTTTTTTTAAAAAATTTGCCAGCGGGCGAGTGTGCTTGTTGGTGACAGAGAGAGACAGAGAAAATGAGAGAGCATCCCCATGGTGGATGGTCACCCTCAATCCCTTCTCCTCCATCTCTCCCTCCTTTCAGGTTTGGGGCACACGCACATGGTGTGTTTTTTGAGCTGCAGGGTGCGAGATTTGAACCAAGCAGTCAGGCATGTGGGAGCTAGCCCAGCATGCTGCAATGCCCACACTCTGGCCTTCCTACCTTACTCGGTACTCACACGGGCACAGGGGCACTCAGTGAGCCCGCTGGGAATCGCGTGTTCACGACAGCTCGCGTCAGGGCCTGGAGCTCTGCCCTCCTAGTGTGGCTCCTCCACTCCCCGGGCCCCCAGGCCCCCAGGCCCCCAGGCCCATGCGGCTCACCCTCTGGTACCTTCTGGGTCCATCAGAACTCGAGTGTGTGGAACTCAGCTATGCTCTCAGCAGGCAAAACACACAGACTTGCCTTCG